AAATTATGTAGAATTTATTTAGATTATCTGTAGAAATTATGTAGAATTTCTGTAGAAATTATGTAGAATTTCTGTAGAAATTATGTAGAATTTCTGTAGAAATTATGTAGATTATCTGTAGAAATTATGTAGAATGTTTGAAAAAATTATGTAGTACTTCTGTAGAAATTGTGTAGAATTTCTGTAGAAATTATGTAAATTTCTGTAGAAATTACGTAGATTATCTGTAGAAATTATGTAAAATTTATTTAGATTATCTGTAGAAATCATGTAGATTATCTGTAGAAATTGTAGAATTTCTGCAGAAATTATGTAGAATTTCTGTAGAAATTATGTAGAATTTCTGTAGAAATTATGTAGAATTTCTGTAGAAATTGTAGAATTTCTGCAGAAATTATGTAGAATTTCTGTAGAAATTCTGTAGAAATTATGTAGATTATCTGTAGAAATTATGTAGATTATCTGTAGAAATTATGTAGAATTTCTGTAGAAATTATGTAGAATTTCTGTAGAAATTATGTAGATTATCTGTAGAAATTATGTAGAATTTCTGTAGAAATTATGTAGAATTTCTGTAGAAATTATGTAGAATTTCTGTAGAAATTATGTAGAATTTCTGTAGAAATTATGTAGAATTTCTGTAGAAATTATGTAGAATTTCTGTAGAAATTATGTAGAATTTCTGTAGAAATTATGTAGAATTTCTGTAGAAATTATGTAGAATTTCTGTAGAAATTATGTAGAATTTATGTAGAAATTATGTAGAATTTATGTAGAAATTATGTAGAATTTATGTAGAAATTATGTAGAATTTCTGTAGAAATTATGTAGAATTTCTGTAGAAATTATGTAGAATTTCTGTAGAAATTATGTAGAATTTCTGTAGAAATTATGTAGAATTTCTGTAGAAATTATGTAGAATTTCTGTAGAAATTATGTAGAATTTCTGTAGAAATTATGTAGAAATTATGTAGAATTTCTGTAAAAATTATGTAGAATTTCTGTAAAAATTATGTAGAATTTCTGTAAAAATTATGTAGAATTTCTGTAGAAATTATGTAGAATTTCTGTAGAAATTATGTAGAATTTCTGTAGAAATTATGTAGATTATCTGTAGAAATTGTAGAATTTCTGCAGAAATTATGTAGAATTTCTGTAGAAATTATGTAGAATTTCTGTAGAAATTGTAGAATTTCTGCAGAAATTATGTAGAATTTCTGTAGAAATTATGTAGAATTTCTGTAGAAATTCTGTAGAAATTATGTAGATTATCTGTAGAAATTATGTAGAATTTCTGTAGAAATTATGTAGAATTTCTGTAGAAATTATGTAGAATTTCTGTAGAAATTATGTAGAATTTCTGTAGAAATTATGTAGAATTTCTGTAGAAATTATGTAGAATTTCTGTAGAAATTATGTAGAATTTCTGTAGAAATTATGTAGAATTTCTGTAGAAATTATGTAGAATTTCTGTAGAAATTATGTAGAATTTCTGTAGAAATTATGTAGAATTTCTGTAGAAATTATGTAGAATTTCTGTAGAAATTATGTAGAATTTCTGTAGAAATTATGTAGAATTTCTGTAGAAATTATGTAGAATTTCTGTAGAAATTATGTAGAATTTCTGTAGAAATTATGTAGAATTTCTGTAGAAATTATGTAGAATTTCTGTAAAAATTATGTAGAATTTCTGTAGAAATTATGTAGAATTTCTGTAGAAATTATGTAGAATTTCTGTAGAAATTATGTAGAATTTCTGTAGAAATTATGTAGAATTTCTGTAGAAATTATGTAGATTATCTGTAGAAATTGTAGAATTTCTGCAGAAATTATGTAGAATTTCTGTAGATTATCTGTAGAAATTATGTAGAATTTCTGTAGAAATTATGTAGAATTTCTGTAGAAATTATGTAGAATTTATGTAGATTATCTGTAGAAATTATGCAGAATTTCTGTAGAAATTATGTAGATTATCTGTAGAAATTGTAGAATTTCTGTAGAAATTATGTAGAATTTCTGTAGAATTTATGTAGAATTTCTGTAGATTATCTGTAGAAATTGTAGAATTTCTGTAGAAATTGTAGAATTTCTGTAGAAATTGTAGAATTTCTGTAGAAATTGTAGAATTTCTGTAGAAATTATGTAGAATTTCTGTAGAATTTATGTAGATTATCTGTAGAATTTCTGTAGAAATTATGTAGAATTTCTGTAGAATTTGTGTAGAAATTATGTAGAATTTCTGTAGAAATTATGTAGTAGAATTTCTGTAGAAATTATGTAGTAGAATTTCCGTAGAAATTACGTAGAATTTCCGAAGAAATTATGTAGTATTTCCGTAGAAATTATGTAGTATTTCCGTAGAAATTATGTAGTATTTCCGTAGAAATTATGTAGTATTTCCAGTAGAAATTATGTAGAATGTGGAAATTATGTAATTATCTGTAGAAATTATGTAATTATCTGTAGAAATTATGTAGTATAATTTCTGTAGAAATTATGTAGATTTTTTGTAGAAATTATGTATATTTTCTGTAGAAATTATGCAGATTTTTTGTAGAAATTATGCAGAATTTCCGTAGAAATTATGCAGAATTTCCGTAGAAATTATGCAGAATTTCCGTAGAAATTATGCAGAATTTCCGTAGAAATTATGCAGAATTTCCGTAGAAATTATGTAGAATTTCCGTAGAAATTATGTAGAATTTCCGTAGAAATTATGTAGAATTTCCGTAGAAATTATGCAGAATTTCCGTAGAAATTATGTAGAATTTCCGTAGAAATTTTGTAGAATTTCCGTAGAAATTTTGTAGAATTTCCGTAGAAATTTTGTAGAATTTCCGTAGAAATTATGTAGAATTTCCGTAGAAATTATGTAGAATTTCCGTAGAAATTATGTAGAATTTCCGTAGAAATTATGTAGAATTTCCGTAGAAATTATGTAGAATTTCCGTAGAAATTATGTAGAATTTCCGTAGAAATTATGTAGAATTTCCGTAGAAATTATGTAGAATTTCCGTAGAAATTATGTAGAATTTCCGTAGAAATTATGTAGAATTTCCGTAGAAATTATGTAGAATTTCCGTAGAAATTATGTAGAATTTCCATAGAAATTATGTAGTATTTCCAGTAGAAATTATGCAGAATTTCCGTAGAAACTATGTAGAATGTCCGTAGAAACTATGTAGAATGTCCGTAGAAACTACGTAGAATGTCCGTAGAAACTATGTAGAATGTCCGTAGAAACTATGTAGAATGTCCGTAGAAACTATGTAGAATGTCCGTAGAAACTATGTAGAATTTCTGCAGAACATAGAATTTCTGTAGAATTTGTGGAATTTGTAGAAATTATTTAGAACTTCTGTAGAAATTATTCAGAACTTCTGTAGAAATTATTCAGAACTTCTGTAGAAATTATTCAGAACTTCTGTAGAAATTATTCAGAACTTCTGTAGAAATTATTCAGAACTTCTGTAGAAATTATTCAGAACTTCTGTAGAAAATTGGAAAGTGTAGAAATTTAGAATTTTTGTAGAAATATGTAGAATTTGTGAAAATGTAGAATTTCTGTAAAACTGTGTAGATGACCTGTAGAAATTATGAAGATAGCCTTAAAAATGTATGTAGATATTCTGTAGAATTTATGTAAGAAATTACACAAATTCTAAAACATTAAAAATTGAAGTTTTGTAGAAATTAGATACTGTATCATGTAAAAATTATGTAGAATTTGTAAATAAAAATTATGTAGGAAATTATATAGAAATTTTGCAAATATCTACAAATTCTACATAATTTCAAAATATCTACGTAATTTACACTATCTTTCAGAAATTCTACATAATTATGTAAATTTAGAAATTGTGTAAATTTTTTTAAACTAATATCTTTAGAAGCTAATTTCAGCGAAATCATGTAGTGAAGTATTTATGCACAAGTTCTGTAGAAATTCCTACAGAATCTCCTACACAAATTCCAACAATTTCCTACACAAATTTATACCCATTTCCCCCCACAAATTTCTACAGAAATTCTACATTATATACATTTCATTCACTTGGGCACTAGGAGACTCAAACCACCAATTACACGTTACGAGACAAGCTGTAAACCACCATATTATGAGAGCATTTAGGATCTTCTCAAGTATGGTAGTTAATAATTAATGGCAGTTTGTCTCGAAGTGAATGAAATGTATATTTAAACAGTAGTGTATATAGATGATTTTATATAATGAACATAATGAAGAGTGAATCCAGTGAATATGAACATACACGAGTTCCAAGTTATAAGTGATGTCACATGACGCGGATTCACAAAATATTTCATCTAGGAACCAACTAGCCCAAAAGGAATTTAAAATTAAATTACCAAATTGGAAAAAAAAGCAGATTGTTAGGCATGTTGAAGGATTGAACTTGTACACTTCACACTGGTGAAGTGTACAAATTCAAGTAAAGCTGAGGGGGGAAAGAGGAAAGATGGGCAAGACAATGCGAGCATGTACGCGACAAAACCAACGATGGACAAAACATGATGGTCAGGTAAAAGTCAAAGTGGAAGCAGTTTATAAAAATTGATCAAGTGTTCCAGTACTTTAACAGACCTGTAATTTGGTTACAAAAGGTGGTTACTTATGGATGCTGTTGTGAATGACCGTTGCAAAATGTTTTCGTGATAATACACATTTGGCGGTAATAATTTAAGTAGCATATCTTCAGGTTGAGATAATTTCGGGGCTTTAGTGTCCCCGCGGCCCGGTCCTTGACCAGGCCTCCATCCCCAGGAAGCAGCCCGTGACAGCTGACTCCCAGGTACCTATTTACTGCTAGGTAATAGGAGCATCAGGGTGAAAGAAACTCTACCCATTGTTTCTCGCCGTCGCCCTGGATCGAACCCGGGTCCACAGGATCACACGTCCAGTGTTCTGTCCGCTCAGCTGCCGGCTCCCAAAGTGATTCAGCCGCCGGCTCCCAAAGTATGTTTAAAGTGAAAGAAATAAGTTATCAATTTTTTTATTGTTCATAAGAATTACCATACAATTACAATATCTAATGATTATAGTACATTTCTTAGATTCAAAACTATTAATTAGTAAGAATACATCAAGTTAGCAGTGATTAATACAAACAGGAATAATAATGCCATAGCATACAAAATTCCCATTACTCATGTACTAAGGAATAGCTATATAACAACAGAGAATATAACCTCTGTCTTAAAACTTTCTCTAACCACTCCTTACAATACAATTACCATGCGCACATCCTAGTCAATGCAACTGGGCTAATATTCAATGCAATGTTCACACACACGCAAGTAAATACAACAGATGATTCAGTCTTCTTGGTCACTGGCACACGGATTTCACACGTCACTCCGTCTTACAAGAGCACCCTGACCAGAATTGAGAAGGGATTCTTGAAAGGTCCACAACATGTGCTTTTCTTGGACTAGAGAATCCCTAAAATAAACGGAATGATAGATAATTAACTATCACTTCCTACTATATTTACATACATAATACATGTATATACAAAAATACATACATACAACTTCATGATTAGTATGTATCATTGTCATATTATTGAATATGTATGTGTTGGTATTTAAACCCTGGGTGTGAAAAACGAGAATCTAACCCACAAAATATAACAAAAACTGCCAGTACGTTTTTATACATCAATGAAACAAAGGTTGCAATGTGCTGTCTTTCAAAATACAGTAGAAAAGTGAGGATTCCTTTTACAAAATTTAAAAGTCAACAGTTACTTCTATACAGAATATAGGCTATTAAACTTTTTTTTTTTTTTTAACAGCAACAAGACCTACTGATTGCCCAAATTTTTAATATGATGTTATGTACTGTTAATTTCAACAAGACTATTATTTACATTACAGAGACAATATAGACACTATTCAATGAACTGAATGATTTGGTTGATCATATTTAGAATGTGCATATGCCTCTCAAAGAAACATAACTGCAATTCATACTTTCAAGGAACAGACTTACGAAAATATGGGTCTGCATTCTGAATATTCATTATCTCAATATAGAAAGAATCTTGGAAAATATTACTACGACCTTCACTCAATTATTCAAACTACGATATCCTAATCTGACAAAAAAGAAGTACAGTATTAAACTCGATATTGCTGTGATAAAATAAGAAAATTGCGAGATAACAAAAACAAAAAAAATTATATTAACGACAACAATAATGAGACACAGAGACAAGTGTGGTCATGTTACGTTCTGCACTGCTTAATTGAAAGCATTTTTACACTAGAAAATGTTACCACAGAAATATAGCAAGAAAATAATCACTAGTCTTGAACATTTTAGGCAACTTCCAAAATATAATTCACAAAAAATCAATACAAATGCAAATTTGACTCCAACAAAAACTTAAACCTTTTGAACCCTTCTAACTTCCGAGACTTAAACAGCATGCTAAAATCCAGGCAGCGACGCCAAATATCACTTGAACCAAAGAAACCCCCCTTAGGGTGCCTGACTACTTTCAGACCATAAAGTCAACTTTATCTCGCTATACACAAATATGCATGCAGGTTAATCAAATCAGTGTCTAGAGGGTTGACAGTTTGAATCCCTAGGGGATATAGAAGGGGAGACATTGAAGATATTAACCTGTTAACCTGATATGCCACATACAGGTCTACGGTAACACAGGCACTGGCTCCACACTCCTTCCAATTGTAGAAACAATTTTACTTGTTCTAATACTCTTACTTTCTAAGGGTACCTCCTTTAAAATTCAATCGCTCAAATATTTGCAATATTTAAAGGAACTAAATCTCTGTATACTAACTGATTATCCATTTAAAAAAAAAGTACACATACACACATTTAGTTGAACATAAACATACTGAAAAACCCGCTATTAAATATCAAAGATCGTATTTAGTAATTTTTTTTTTGCAACCCTGTGTGTCATTTGCTTTGCTAACTGCAGACCTAATATGAAACCAATACACCTTCACTAAAAGGGCTCTCCTTTAAATTTTACTTAAAAGAAAGTGTAGCCTCCACCTGCACCACCATTTAAAAAGGAACCCTTCTTCTGGCTCATTGACACCTGAGTCCCAGATGCAGCAGCCAACTGAGCAGCATTAGGAGCAATACCAGGTGGTGGTGGAGGGATGGAGGGTTGAGCAATGCCATCAAAACGGGCCCCAGAGTCATATCCATTCTGAAACAAAAATAGAATACTGTACTGTCAAGATAGGTTTACAGTTCATACAACCTCTCAAGAGCTGCTTGACTGTGGGCTAATCCACTGTTCTATCTTCAGTCTATGTACTATACAGTATTGTGAATTATGCTATCCACATTACTGAATACTTTTATAATTAAAACCTTTCCAACATGCTATGCATGCTAGTGGCTCTAAATATAGAAAAAAAAAATCTTCCATGGAACTGTGCTTGCTCCAGTACTTTCTCATCCATATATCGCACAGGGATTCCAAGAGTTCCAACTCTTGTCATCAACACTACCCTGAGCATGACATTCAATGAACTTTTGATATGTAGACAACCCATTGTTGCATTGATATGTATAAATGAATGAATCCAAGTATATTATGTATCAATTTCCACTATAATTGCATATACATACCAATTACGTAACAAGTTTCACAACGTGGTTGAAATGAAGTTTCCTAGTTCAATCAATCATCATAAAGGAACTACATAGGGTTTATTGGTCTATTTATTAAGATGTTCAAATAATTAGTTAAAATGGTATACGTCATTGCAATTATATATTTGAGAAACCTGGACGAGTATAATCGGTACAGTAGAATGATTTTTATACCATGACAACCACATTGGCATATCAACGTAATCATGAAAAAGATGAGATGTTTTCATGGGGTCAAGGTCAATTCCACTACATCCATATCGAGCTCTTACCCTTATTAGCATCATCAGTGTAAAATTCAGACAATAATAGTCTAAATTATGATAACTGCACTGATTATTAACAAGTGTGCCAAAGCACAAAAGGTAATATTCAAGCTAACATTGTTGCAGGTTAAACAACCTGCAGCGAAAGATTAACCTTTTCACTGCACAAAAGATTATACTTTATGTGGCATTACCTACATACACACAAATATTCAAGTTTTTTTATCCAATACTGATGTAATTAGCATGCCAGATATAAACGGCTAGGTGGAGAGGCGTAGAAAGTTAAATCTTGTTTCTCCTGTAGTCACCGATAGATAAGCACCATGCAAAAGGTGTACATATTACTGTATACAGTACCCCTAAACAGTACCGTTTTTGACTGTGTACATAAATCAAGTTAATCAATCAACACAAACACTACACAGTGTAAGCTAAATGAAAACCAAAATCTCAAAGCTAATTATGTGCATCCTATTCCCCCTCACTCCCTCCCTCCCTAATACCAATGTCAAATCCCCCCAATCCCCCCCACACACACAGGGAACATGACAATTTTGATGTCATAAAAATGCATGCTTAATACAAGAACTAAAGGAGAAGTTTGTGATAAAGATACAAATAGCTTACCATAATCAAAACATTCTGGCCAGGCTGCAGACCTGGTACCTGTCCGGCTCCTGCGCCTGGGGGTGGAGCATGAGGTTGATAGTACCCTTGTAGTTGCTGGAGATACAACTGCTGCTGTTGCTGCATGTATAGAGCAGTTTGTTGTTGTTGATAAGCCTGCTGGGAATAAGCTAGTTTCTGAGCTTGCTGGGCTGCTGCCATGCTCTGAAAATAGGTAGAGTAAGCTGAGCTTATGCCCTTAACAGACAGGACAGTAAGCAAACTAAACAGTGAATTCTATTATGATTGTATTTTGATGCTATCAATTTTATACACACAAGCATATTCACAAACAAAGCATATCCATGCAAATTTTCAGGGCAAGTCACTTGACTGCATTTGTGTTTGGCTGTTTTATATTAGATCATATTATATTAATATCTATATAATGTATATATAATGTCATTAAAGGGCTGGATGGATACAACAATTGTGCCAGTAGATAATGTGAAAGGTGTACAATATATGCATTTACCACATCTGTACAAGAATTTTGAGGTTTAAAGGAACAGGATGGGGGGAAGGGGAGGGTAAAAATATTACAATGGTCATGTAATTGAGATGAATTGGTAAAATGTATGAAGGAGCTATAATGATCCTACTTCACCGAGTGTTAAGAAAGTATTCACGTTACTGTATGCTTAGAAGGATTGGTGATCAAAGCTATAACAAAAATTACCCATGTAAAGTACGGAGAGTAAACAAACATTCGTGTAATATGTCAAGCAAGAAGTAAATACCCCATGTCAAGCAAGAAGTAAATACCCCATGTCAAGCAAGAAGTAAATACCCCAAGTTAAGTAGAGTATGGGTGCCAAGAAGAAAAACTACAAAATAAAATGTTTCATAAATACTTTAAAGTTTGTTATAAGTCAAGTTGACCAAGTGTCTGGATTACAGATATAACATAATATACTGTCTCTCCACATGAAACTTCCACAGCTTCAAATTACATTATTTACCTACAGGATTCTACACAAATCAATAGTTAAAATTATTTTCAATTTGCATTTAAGAACATTTCAATATACCTAGCATGGGTACAGTACACATATATATATTGAAGTGGGTTGTTTGTTTTAAGCGATCAAAGTATCTTTAAATTTTTGTTGGAATAATGTGATTTGAAGCAACAAAGGTTTCATGTGAACACCCTGTATAGCAATGCAATGTTCTCCGTGGCTGTATATATTATTGCATTAAGAAATTATTTGTAAAGCAAAGCTGTATTCAATGTTAACAACACTGCCATTACAGCAGCATTTAAAACATTTACAGAGAAGGTACAAAAACAATCCAGGTAAATTATTCTTATTAATATTTAGTAATCTAAAAGTATCTTCGTAACGCGTTGAAAGAGGAGCAAACTGTGATACTCTCATCAAGCAGCAAATATAGGGGAATGGGAGCCGATATTTTAAGAGAAAATTGTTGCACAAATATTTACTACAATAACATAATGAAGCTTGTTGAAATTATTGGCTGTAAGCTCTTGAAATTATGAGCTCTATGATTAACAGCTTCCCCAGTGATGAGAATGCAAATAGCAGTGAAAGAACTAGATTAAATACATGATATACAAAATAAGGTTTTAAATGTAGCACAGACAACTGGAGAACAAACAAGAATGATTACTTGTGTGAAAAAGTGTAGGCCATTTAGACAAAACATAGTAGAAGATCACCTAAATACTGTACTGCAAGTACTGTACAAGTAGGATGTAACAAACGTGTTAAGTTGCAGGATACAGTTACATGAAGATAATGAAAGTGAATGTCGTGTTGATGCACAATAAAATTTAGCAAATACAGTAGTCTAAACAGGTTTATTCCCGTGAGCCATGAATGTTAGGGAAAAGCATAAATGAAAGAGGCATTATATATGTATACAAAATGTAAGGCCACCACCAGAGTGTAACTGAAAAACTGAAACCATTAAAGAGGCTAAACTGAGCAGCTTCATCCATCAAAATCAGATAACACACAACAGTTATATAAATAACCACCACACTCATACTTAAGTGTTTGCTTCTTATTTTAATCATTATTCAGATACATCCAATAATTAACTTGCATCAGTAATTCAATGTTAATTTTCACACACACCGTCTTAACACAGAAATGTCTAATTTTACATACTTACTCCTTATCACTGTCGGAGGGAAAAAATGTAGTCCGGGTAAACAAGGACAGGAGAGACCGAGTGTTTAATATAACCAAAGGGCAAAAAAATAAAAACTGATGAGGCAGGTATTCCAAGTAATAGCATTTCATTTACAAAATACAGCTGTTTATGACAACTAATTTAGCAAGTTTATCAGAATCCTTCATTTTAGACTATAAATAATGCAAATACAAAGGCTTAAAAATAATAATGGCTGCATGGCAAAGGCGACAAGAGGTAATACTTGCATTTAAATGGTTTAAAGATGCAAACAATAAAATGCACTTTCCACCTAATGAGAAAGGAAAATAACTCTTCCATGGCAACCTTAAGCTTAAAGGTTGCAATGTACATGGGTATGTGACGCACCCTGTTGGTGGTGGCATCAAGCACACCATATTTCTCACCAACATGAAGCTTTAAGGTAATAGCAGAACAAACAAAATTGAAGTTACCTTACTGAATTCTACCAATGACGGCAACATGAACCTTGGGTCACTAGTATACGTTGGCTACAGAAATGCTAAATAATATAAATGCAAATATTTTGCTTTTAATTTTAAAAAATGCAAGGTATAGTGAAATCCCCCAAAGATTCAAAAAGACTGATCACCAAACAGTAGCCATCATTTTCATATTGATGATAAATTCATTAAAACATTGCAATTTATACCCAATCTATAAATTCTTTAATATAATAGTTGAATAATTTCAATTACAGTATTCTTTAAAAAATTATGAAAAATTAATTTTACACAATTCCTAAGGAACCCAACTTGTAATTTCTAGGGAAGGCATTTAAAAGGCTAAGCATTAAATCTTGTCACGTGGAACAGCCATTTTAAGTTTTATAAGAACTTACTAAGGATAATATAAACTGCCAAGGTAGTTATGAGAAGCGACTTGGTGGCCAAGTGCTAGGACTTTATGCTCTTGTGGAAATATAACAAAGATTTGATGACCACTGTAGCAATGAACTGTGGGTACAGCTACAATAAATACCAAGGACAAATTAAGAATGAAAAGAACATGCCTCTGGTCAACTTAATCGCACGATAAATGAGCGAACATTTCAAACTGCTCATATCCCACCATTTTACCACCAGTCGCTCTCCGGACAAACCATAATCTTTCAATACCTAACTACATGCTCTACTAGTTAATGCACTACTTCTCACACAATACATGCAAACAGCTTTCACTCTTGCTTCTATTCACCTCGTGCATTGCAATAATGGGAAAACTAATTCCAAATGCTTCCTACAGCCATCTCCTGAAATATCAGAAAGTATCTACCACTCTGAATACAGTACTTTTTAAATAAATTCTCCTACCCTTAAAAAAAAAATAAGTACACATCACAAATTCAATTTGTTTTAAACTATTAAGTGTTAATTTTGCTGCTAGTAATGTGCATCTTCCAATGCTATTTAAAAAAAAAAAAAGTTTACCACTGCAATGATCATAATTATTTGTCTACTGTTTTAGCATTAGAAATCAAAAGCTATTTGCATTTCTTGCAAGAGAACATTTGTAATGTGCAAGGTTGGTGGGAAACCAATCCCAGTGATCGTGCATGCCAATGTCTTGAAACATTTATTGGCTCAAGAATTCATTAAAAACTGATATTTTACACCACGCAACTTTGAATATACAGCAGCATAAATTATATAAGTGTTAATTAGGAATTAACAATTGATTAGATGAAACTGCATTAATCAAAACAAAGAGCTGTAATCTAAAGGACAAGATAAAATATTGAAAATCATTGAAGTTTTACAAATAACCAGCTACAGTATATCAACATTTTCTAATGTTAATTCCTTCACATTGAAATTACTCATTGTACATTATGTTTATTAACTAATTCACCTTGAATGCCCATTTTTTCTCAAATAACTAGCCAATGAACAACTAATCTATGTTTTGAAGCAACAACAATCGTAATATACAATAAACTTAACACCAAAATGCTTTTATTCGAACAAGTGTTCATATGAACAAAAATATTGCATTGGACCACTAAGTAGTTTTCTCTATTGAGAAAACAACTTGGAATTAATTAAAGTGACTCAAATACTTTTTCTAAACACTAGAATGGGCATGCAATTTGCCTTTTAAAAACAACAGTAGATATCACTTGTACTCTAAATTTTATCCATAAATCAGTAATGATAAAGAAAATGATTTGCAAAAGTTGTACCTACTTACATTGCATAAAGTAACAAATTCTTTTACAACTTTAGCAATTCACTTCCCTGTTTATGAATACCTAGTGACTTTACCCTCAACACAATGTTATCACTTCCCAAAATATTGTAATTATTAAACTAAGAATTACCACATACAGAGCTTGCTTCATCAGCAACTTCATAAGATGGTATGCATCACATGACCTTGATAACCTTGACAGTCTGCCAAGGCAAGCTAACGTTTTTTTTTTTTTTTGTTTAGTTGAAACCGCAAGTTTATAAAATATCGAGGTAAACAAAATTCCATTAACGAATCCACAGAAGATGCATATCTTCAAAAAAAATATACAGAGGAGTAAGCTCTAAGGTTAATCTGCTATTTATTGTTCAGATAAAAATATTAATTTTCAAGAGGATAATGATTTGACCCTACCTGGAGTGATTCTGACAGTAGAAGTGGATATACATCCTCATACTGTAGTAGTGATGAGGTATTGTCAGCTTGTACTCCATGTGATTGTTGCATGGAGCGAAGTTGAAGCTTGAGATAATAATCCTAAACAAATGATAGTAGAGTGAAAACATGATTGATAAATAATATATGATGCAAAAAAATTCTCCTTATATACTAGTAAGATGGACAAGGAACTCTTAAACAGAAGACACGTATAGAATCACGCATGACGATGCAATTAACCTTTAACTACCTCAGTACTACTACTACTGCCCCATGATGTGCTCAACTAGCACTTTTGATTGATGAGGCAACAAATGGTGATGCAATAAATATAAGGCTTCATGTATGATATATATCAGGGCAACATGAGCAAGGGGAATAGCCACTGATGACTAGTGCAAGGTAAGCAGGGATGACAATATTCCAACGAAGGGCATTTCAGCAAAAAGCATGACAAATTTAATCTATACTCTAGCAAGGCTAAATCAAAACAAAGGTCTCTACCTTTCCCATCTGATCTTTCTTAATTCGATAAGAAAAACCTTAGAAGCACCCTCTATATAAAAGGAAGTAATATGCAAAATTTGAAAGGACACTCGATAATGATACTTAAGCTAAGCAATTGTCAAGCACAATGCTATCTGGCTTTCTATATTCTACAAGTCTTCTCTTGCTACAAAGCAGCATAGTTCATGCTCTACCACTAAATTTGTGAGCAAAAAAAAAATACCCCTCCCCCCATGTTAATACATTTCTGCGTGTTTGCAATCGAGTCGGCATTCAGCTCTTGCAAAGTCATTATCACAAATCTTTTCTTTATTCCTCAATATCTTTTTTTTTAAATTAACATTCATGGAATGTAGTCTCAAACTTAAAAATACTAGTGGTATTTTAGTTTTACTGGCATAAAAGTGTTTGCTGTGATGCTTCTTACCACTTTCAACCAAGCTGGTTGGCACATTTCTTGTAAACTGAACCTACAAGTCTGTTATTAAACACTGACAAAGTAGATGTGGAGTATATCAATGCTTAAAAGTGTGCAAAATTTTACTTATTTGTCAGTTATTCCATCCTTGTTTTGGCAAATACTTTCCTAATACATAGCACATTCAAGTTTACTTTTGTAAAGAAAAAAGTTCCCTGTGGCAATTCTTGATACCTTGTCCATGCAACGGTGTCTACTGCTGAACTACTACACTCATAATGTACACATCATATGCAACATGTGCATGGAAAAACCATACCGAATAAGCAATAATTGCAAACTTTGGCAATGTTCCTCTTTCCAAACACCCTTCTTGGCATATTTTTTTCTGATTTAATGACTTTGTCTACTAATACCGGTAGTATTGGCAGAAGTTCCTCGACCTTTCCTCTAATCTTGATGCAATTCTGGAATCTCTACTGCAGTGCTATAATATCAGTCTCCTATTAATCTTCGCACTGCCATAGGTAATCCTCCTTGCTTCTTTACCGATGACTTCATTTGCATTGACATATGTCACTCAAGACAAAGGTTTCAATAACAACAGTACAATACAATTCTGATCCTAATGCAAGCACCAGTTGAAATCTGAGAATACAGTACTAAACATTTCAATAGCTCCAAATTAAACACAGTACAGTGCATTTAACTAGAACATTCAGAAATGCCAACATCCAAGCTTCTCTCGGAAACAAGATTCTAGGATCAATCATCTTTCCACTAGATATGGTGTTAGATCCTTGGCAAATATAGGTCAAAAAAAAAAAAAAAATTGGTTTCTCTGCAAGCAATATTTTACCAATGAGATGCTAACGCGCTGAAGATATCCGTCAAACATGACTACCCAAACAAGGCAAATTACAATTTAAAAAAACAAGCATTTTATGTAGCTTTTCAACCTTCTGCTTCTTGCATGTCTTCAGTTCTAGCAAAACAGTTTTGGCAGGAAATTCAATATATGTACCAGTGTTCCTCTCTTTACATATTTTAGTTTCATCAGGATCTTTTGCCAAGTGCATATTTTACGATGCAATCGCTGCAATGCAGACTACCAAATTATTTTCAAACCAAAGTACAGCTGATGTCAAACTACTTTTACAAATTGCAATTGACCATTATTAATTTAAGACACTATCTTCAACATGCAGTAGACAATTCTCTGGTATATAATGCATCCATAACCTTTCAGACTGTGCAACAATCTCATATAAAATTAAATACCCAACTTTTTTTCCCCCCTTTAAAAAAATATGGCTCATTTTACTAAAGGTCTTACTAATACAACCAAAATACTATTATACAATACAATTTCCATCTTTTCATATATACACGTCAACTTCAGTAATAAATATATTCAATACCCACTTTTCAGTACTTTATATTTTTACTTCTCCAACCCAGCTACACATGAACACTTTCTTGGCTGTACTGTAATACTCTATCTTCCTATCTTTAATCCCAATACAAGCATTTTAACAATTTAATGTGCTTGCTTTCCACCTTAGGAAAACATGAAGCGTGTTAGCCTGTCCTCTATATATTTACCCTGAATTATAAATTAAAAACTTCTGAAATCTGCTTGATCCAGCAAGTTGGTTTCAACAGCCATCCTGGTGAAAGGCGACCCATTTCATTCAAATGTTTTTGGCGACACTGACAAAAACAATTCAAATAGAACAAAATCAAGTACCTATACTGTACATGTGTTGCACAGCAGCAGCAGAAAAAAAAACTAAATTTATCTGCTCCCCCTTACATAATGGAGCCCTCTAAATAAATTACCAGTTTTGCTACCTGATCACCACTTTCGAATTTGGATTTTTCAAAGTAAATCTGGACTTCGAGCCCAAGAAACTTGGATAGAAATCAGGAAAAACTCGGTTGTATAATTCCCAGATAGTTTTTTGTGTGCGTGCGCTATCTATATATCTACTGTGTTTCTTGTGGGTGTGCTTTGCCCTTTTTATTCAAGCATTTTCACCGATTCCTTTGGTTTTATAATTATTTGCGAGTTTAAACCATGGCTTCCAACATGAGTGGTAAAGGCAAGGGGAGCTTTCCCGCGATAAATTATGCAAGATTATAAGAGAAACTAGATCGTTGTTTGTGGGGAAACAGCTGGCATAAGAAATGGAAAACAGTTACAGCCCCACTCCAGTGCCAGGTAAGTCTACTAGACTCGCCATAACCCGTGCTACTTGAAACTTTGTTCCAAGTAGCTGAATCAAAAACAACAGTTTGCATAGGAATATTGCGTTGATACAGTAGTAGTTTGACAAAAAGGAATCTGTCAGAGTTAATGACCAGATGAGGGTGTGTATAAGTGGTTTACCTAGCGAAGGGAAGGGAAGGGAAGGAAAAAGGGAGGGGGGGGGGGGTTGTCAGCTGTTATCTGTACACAGCAGGAGAAAAAAGACAAAAATTATGAAAAACAGAGTCAAGAACAAAATTGTAAAACTAGATTGGATCCAGAAAGATATAATCTGATTTTAGGGGATGCCACTACACACTGTATAACAATGTTTCGATGATACATTCAAGACTGCATTTATGATTGGGTGAATTACAAATACATAGTTATGTGCAGTGGTCATCCTTTAATATAACTACAGTACATTCACAACAATGTGGTTACTAGAACAAGGAAACTTTCAAGGAAGTTTACAATACTAACTAGCCAACTACTGTACCGTCTACTGAAGGTAGTACCTCATGAAGTCAATCACCCATAACTATCATAATGTTGTCAATTAACCACTAATACATTCTCTTGCTCCCACTTGGAGCACTCCCAATACTTTCAGCTGAAAACGTTTCCCCAAATTATCCTACAGCTTTTGATATTTTAGGTAAACCAAATGTATTTGTATCGCGTATGAGAGTGGTGGGCTTAACTTGAGGGGTGCAATACAGTATATCTCGGCAGGCTTCGGCATTTACCTAGTCTCAAGACGTCTGCATTTTGGGGGGGGGAACAGCATTTCAAGGGTCAAATGTTTCTAAGCAGAGAATGCACAAGTTGTACAGTATTAATCTGCAACTGCATCCCATAGTTAAAATGAGCAATATGGCAGAACATGAAAGCTACCAATCTCTGTAGTTTTCAAATTTAAAGTAACTACACATACAAGATGTAATTTAATTATAAAATACAGAACCATATTAGCTGCTTTAATGACAAATCCTTTAACTTTCTCAGCATGGTTAGGTGAAGTTGCAACGGATCTTGTACAAGTCACCAAATACTGTAGTTAAATGATGTCCATCGAAGACTACACAAGACTTCGAGACTTTGTAAATTATAAATACTCTATACAGTAGTTAATCTAATGCAGAAGCTGTAAGCCATAATGTTTCTAAATGTAAAATATACTGCACAACACAAATTGAGTATTAAGCCATAGGAAACATGTCCGAGTAATGCACTTCAATTTCTCAAGATTGTTTAAAAGAATAATGTGCGTTTGGTTGCTAAGCTATACAAAAAAGTTATGTAATTGATTCAGTTCATATGTACAATCTTTTTCATGTGTAAATATTATATAGCATTTTAATGCCTTGCACAAGTCAAATATTTTTAGAGAAAACATTAAAACTCATAGGCCTCATACATACAATATTGCTTACCAGTGACAGTTTCTGTACTTAGAACAGAATGAACAAAAATTAATTTCAAGTACTGATAGTTGTTACATAATATACAGTATAAATAAATGCTAACTACATTCTATGCAATATGGACTAATATCAATTCTTGCGGGTAATGGCTGGCCCAACTTACCTCACACTAATGACAAGTAAACGTCCTCTGAATACAGCCACCCTTAACTGCATGCATTAAAAAATATTCAAACCATTACTCAGGCATCCATCTAAACCTCTTACAAAAATGGTGCTGTTTTTTTCCTAAATGGAATCTTCCTGGGGGTATACTTTGGGCAATATTTCCAAAATATGCCCAAAATTAAACCACAAGGTGAATTATTAGTTACTTTTTTAGTTTTGAATATAAAGTTAAAATGAGAAAACAAACCACAGCCTCCAGAATTAAGTACTGTACTAAGATCCATGTTCAGTTTAGGCAATAAACTATCCCCCCAATATATATTTTAAA